TCTGTGTCCCCCGTCTCTCTCTCTCTCTCTCTCTCTCTCTCTCTCTCTCTCTGTGGTTGGCTAACCTCAGTCAGGCTGTCAGAAAGCGAAAAGGTCCATTCTGTGTGTACTTAGGTTGACCTTGTCGCCGTCCTTGGCATCCTCGCATCATTGGGCTCGCTCAGCTTGACGGAGGATGCAGCGTTCTTCTGATGCATGGTTGATCCATGGGTGATTGCAAACTGATGAATGCTGGCGAATGGACATGAAAAGCTGCAAGATCGAGCAATGCTTGGTGACGATGTGAGTCAGGGAAGCCACAAAAATGGAGGAGAAGTCCGATTTAACACCCACCACTGCTGGTGAACCATCGATGAAGACAACCAGTTTCTTGAAGAAGGCCAGAGACTCGCATGGGAGGAAGGTTATCAATCAGTATGTGTTTGTTGAGGAGATTGGTGAGGGGACTTACAGTAAAGTAAAGAAGTGCTTTGACACCGAGAAATGTGTCTACCGTGCGATGAAGATCATGGACAAACATCGTCTGCATCGCAAGTACATTGGTGAAGGGAAGACGGCTTTGCAGGATGTTATGCGTGAGGTCGAAATCCTTGGGGGCCTCAGCCATCATCCGAATATCATTACACTTTACGAGGTTATTGATGATAAACCAGCGGCCCCTACTGGGAAGATGTATCTCATCTTCGACTATGTTGATGGAGGCCCGATGATGGATGGTGATGATGAGGTGATGCACCCGGTCTCAGAATCTGTTGCGCGGGTATGGTTTTCACACATTTGCTCCGGTTTGCACTTTCTCCATGCGAACAAGATCGCTCATCGTGATCTAAAGCCAGAGAATCTCTTGGTAAGCGTTGATGGAGTTGTTAAGATTGCGGACTTCAGTGTTGCTGACACCTTTGAGAGTGCAGACGGAAGTTGCAGGACGGTAGGGACACCGGCCTTTTGGGCACCCGAGATATGTAGTGGGGACCATTACCGTGCAGCGCTGACGGACATCTGGGCCATTGGCATCACACTGTACATGATGATCTATGGTACCGTTCCTTTCCAAGCATCAAACCTGATGCAGCTATCCGATCGGATTCAAAATCAGGACTTGGAGTTTCCCACAGAGCCGCGTGGCGTGTCAGAAGATCTGAAGCTGTTGCTCCTGGGCATCTTGGACAAAGACCCGAACTGCCGAATGTCACTTATCGATATCATGTCACACCAATGGATGACAGGAGAAGAAGGGAAGGTCACAAGAAGCCCCTCTGATATGTGATGCTGCATGGCCATCTTAATTGTATAGCAGAAGTGTGATTCACTGAATGGCCACGAGTGAATTGGATGGCAGACGTGGCCAGGGGTGTGACTTCCTGAACCTGGTTTGGTCTGCCGGGGGATGTGGGGTGGGAGAAGGCAATAACTGAGATGGAAGTGGATCTATGCCATTGATTCAGGATCTATGCTCAGATAGAATCCATTAGTGGATTTTATGGTGGTAGGGCATGCCGGTCAGTTGTCTGTCGATGTGCCTGGCTGCTAGGTTAAACTAGCTCCAAGGAGCTTTGCAAAGTTGGGTGGAACAGTGTGTAACTGATTGGTCTATTATGACTGCATGAGTGTCTGCCAGAGTAGCTGCAATTTGTCTGTCCGGTGTAACAGACTTTCAGTGGCTGGTGTTCACCTCCGGCTGTTCGACTTTGACTTGGCTTCCAGTCAGAGGGACCCGGGCCAAGTCTGAGCAACTTTATGTTGGTGAGCAATTGACTTTTGGAACTGGCATTTGACTGTTTCTGAGTGATTGAAACCTGAAGTGTGACTTTTTCCAACTGATTGAGTGTGAATTGATCATTTCAGAACGTTGACCGAAAGTGTGCGCTGGCCATTTGGGAATGCATGCACTGCGTTGTGCACTGAACATTTGAGAAAAGATAAACAGTGTGCATTCACTGCTTTGAACATTGTTTTTATAAGACAGAATTGTCTGTTGACCAGATTATAAAAGAGAAAATGTGATTTTTTCTAATTAACTTTTTTTCACACCCCAACACACGTGCCCCATCTATTCTGAGGGACGTCAGTCCGGTTGCTTATCACCGGCAAGCATGCAGCAAAGAAGAGTCCGAAGACGTAGTACGGAGTACGAAGTACAGAGTACAGAAAATGTGCTTTTCACTGCTGTACCATTCCAGTAAAAAACGGCAAAAGCAGGGTGCGCACTCAGCACTGAGCATTTACCAGTTATTTATATGACCTCTTCCTGTGTGCACTTTTATCAGGCTTCCTTTCGCTGCCAGTTGTCAATCGCCTAGCAATGGAGGTTGAGTGATCCTAGTTGTTTCTATTATGTGAGTAGGTGTCGCGATTACATGAGCCAGGGATAAGTCGGGAACCGGTGAGATTGCCCCAAGGTTGTTTTATATATATATTCCTGATGAGTCAGTGAAACTCCGACGAAACAGTTTGTCACAGCCCCTCGTTTGTTGTCCTCTTCTCTCTCTCTGCCTACGGTTTTACCGGGCAGTTCTGTTTGTGATGATTCCCAACGACAGTCCCTACTCACGATGTGGCCCCGAATGCTGAGGGCCTGGGACATGATCAGCTCGGACTGCATTTAACCCCGCAAGGCATAGACCACACGGGAGATTTGCAAATGGCTGACCA